CTGACCGTCTCTAAAATACCTGCATTCGATGCTGTCTGATGCAACTGGGCTATTCCGGCGCACTTCAAGTGATATTCGAGCAACAGAAGCTGCGACGGTGGACTCGCAGGCCGCAGAGGCCGACCATGACCTGCCGCAGACGGTAGACCGACCTAGGAGAGCGTCTCGTGTTTCGCGTGTGGTATAGAGGTCCGAGCTGGGTTTTGATGACCGTGTTCCCTGACATTCACTTTAGGTTGCTGTAGGCCACCATGTCAACTGCCGTGCGAGATCTGAGATTAGTCTAAACAACTTACCTTGTTCGTTAAAGCCCCGCATCCAGCGCAACATCTTTGATATCGACCGTGAGCTTGCTCCATCGGAAGGCGCCGCTTGACATGGGTAGTGAGTGACAATCTGACGGTCCGATCTCAAATGAACGTGCTCACGTTTTTTTGACCGCAGCACAGGCTTGAGCCTACCAACATGGAGGAAGGTGGTCTGAACGCGAAGTTCATCGTTTCCTGCGCCTTGGCCATTGTTGGGCGAAAAGCGAATGGAGGATGAGAGCCCGAGGCGACGCGCGATGAGAGATGAAGGTGAGAATGCGTACCACGAAAGTGGCACCTCGGACGCACCTTGACGCGCACGTGCGACTTTGCCAACAAACGGCAGCAGTTAACGCGCCTTAGATGCGTTCGACTCGCACGCGGCGATGATTGTGACTGGCTTTTGACGTTTCGCTGCTACGCAAATGGCTCGGTCAGTTCCGCGTGCACGCGCTCATCGACAACGGTGTATGCATCTTGTATTTGGTCTGACTATGTTGTCAAGCCTTGGAAGTTACGGTCAAGGTGAGTCGCGCTCAGACAGTCTAGACAAAGAATGCTTCATACCATATAATGCACAGCATGTGGAAGGAGCAAGGCCGGAAGGAAGATGCGTTGAAGGGTTGGGAGTGGTGGGGGAGGAATGGGAGGATGGGATGTGAAGTGCTTTATGCATCCGAATGTGAGAAGTCTGTGCAGACGAGTTTGGGTAAGGGAGGGAAAGAATAGATGAATATCTCACGGAAATAATGGGGCTCACCGGCTGCAGACCACATTGTCCAACTGCCGTCGCCGGCCGTGTGAGCAGTTCGTGTGGGAGAAGGTGGGCCGAATGGTTCATTTACTGTGTATGAGCCGCTGCGGTCGAGCGAAGTGGAAGCCCGCAGACCGTATGAACTGACATCCAGGCCGTTCTTTCATCAAATCAGCTCTGGGCCACATCAAACCGAACCACCGCATGTTCTTCTCTCCGTGCAGGATCGGTTCATGTTCGGTCAACCGGCCATGTTCCGTGCGAGAAGGTGCCGATCGAAATGTGGGCG